AAATAAGTAATCTAATAAGGAATTTTTATTACTTCCTTTTTTAACATTTCAGTAAACAGTATTAAAATTATTATAACAATATCTGAACTCTAAGTATATATACTCTTAATATATGATTTATCTTGTTGATTTCTTTTGTTTAATTATTTATTTCCGTATTCCAAATGCATTTTAACCCACTATGCCGCCTCAGTCAGCAAGACTGCGCTCACATGTGTGTGCAGTTTTTGTGTTTTGCCTTTGCCTCCTCGGCACAGGACATCATCGGCATTATCCTTACAACGGCCAAGCGACCTTTTCAACTTGTCTGCAGGGGCGTGGCACTCAAACGGGGAGGGGAGAGGGCGGCAGGCCAGGAAGGTTGGGGCTAGGGGGCGGTGTATTTGACGGACATTTCTAATTTACAAATGTGTGTGAATGCTCCGTGTGTGTGTCCTGCGTATGTGTGTGTGTGTGTGTGGAAATGCCTGGCAAACAAAACAAACTCGCAGCTCGATGGCGACGGCAACTGTGTTAATGATTAGAAAAACCTTTGCATTGGGCCAAACCCCACCCAAACCTATTTTTGCACTGGGCCATCCCCCAGTTTTTGCACACACACACACACACCCAAGGACTTCCATCTCCCACACACACCATAACACCCATAACCCATACCAACGCATATCTACTTCCTGGCAATTAATGTGTGCAACATACGCGTTTTAATTTAACGCAACGCAACGCAACGCAACGCAACGCAACGCGACTTTGCCCCTTTCTCAACCATCCCTGGGCCACTGCCACTGCCACTGCCATTTCCCCTTTCCCAAAGTTGGAAAACTTTGGTTGCTTTTTTGCCGTAATTTTAAATGGTTTTCCACGTCCACACACATACGCATAGACACACACACACACATGAGGTGAAGGAGGTGGGTTGAACGCCCCGTTTTGAAAACTAAACCAACCAGTTTGGCAAGTTCCAAAAGGATTCACTTTGGGCCAGAAGTTGCCAGGACGAAAGTAGAAGTGGGTGGGGTTAAAGCGAGTCCTTGTGCGTGCGCGAATATGCGTGGCAAGGATTGCACTGGAATGGTGATGAGTCCAGGACTCACTAACAAAAACCAAGGGGTAAGATTTCGCCTCAGATTTCAAATACAAACAAATGGTTTGTTTTTTTGCCTGAATTTTAAGTTTTTAATAGAAAATACATAATGCACTTAATAAAACAAACAAAAATGGGTAAAATGTTAAGTACATAAGAAGTTTGAGATGTTTTTGGTTGGAGGAACAATATATACATATATTCTTGGGAGTTGGGAGCTGAAAAAGAATTTAAGGGATTTATTATTATAGATTATATGAGTTGTATAATTTACTCAGTTTTAATCTAAATATAAATGTAGGTAGATATAAATATAGAAAAGTATTTAGAAATAAATATATATAGATAAAGATATAGATAAGTATTTTCCAGATCCTCTCAAAGGTTAAGGTTTCTTACTTACAATTAACCATATATGGGCATATATGATCCTAACCTTCATAGTTTCAGCAACCTTCTTTGAGTTTATTTGTCAATATCCTTTCCTTTATTCATGTATTTAATTATAAACTATATATAAAACTTCAAGTATTTTTTAATGCATTTAATTCTAACCAAATTTAATCTCTTTTCATAACATTTATCACACTTTTTCTCCAGTGCACTGACTCTCACACACACAATGCATCGCTGCGTTCAATAGCGGACTCAACCTGCGATGGTTAATGATGGACCCCGGTACCAAGCCTGGCCAAGAGTTGGGGGGGTTGCTATGCCTCCCCCCCCCCTTGTATGGTTCTAAGTCCAGTTCCGCGTCCGTATCCGTGTCCGTGTCCATGTCCATGTCCGTGTCCTGGCACCCGTCCCCGGGCCGCTTATGCAAATGGCAATGCAGCGCGCGGATTTGCATGAACATTTTGCTAAACAAAAGTAAACCAATGCACACGCAATCCGAGCGGAGCCGGCCAAACGAGCTGCCATTTTGCATGAAATAAACCCGGAGGATCGGATCGAAAGACTCCGGTCCCGGGTTCCCGAGTTCCCGTCTTTCCGTAGTCCATGTCCGTGTCCGATTTCCATTCGTTGTTGGACGCCGGAGCAGGTGCGATTTGAGTTTTCCAGCGGGTGGGAGAGAGAGAGATTCATACATACAGGACATACTGTATTAAATAACGACTCAGCATCTTTGAACAGGAAAGAGGTATTTAAAGGGATATCGAAGGATATAGAAATGAAAGAATAATTGTGAGGAAATTATGCAGAACTATATAATAATAAGAAAATGTGAGTTTTAATATCGTTAATATAAATTCTTTGTCATTTTTGAATTTATGCTTTGAGTGTTTGTCTCCATTAAATGTCAATACATTTTATGTTTTGGCTTTTGATTCGAGCTTTTAAACTTAATACAAAATATTTATTTAGATTTTTTTTATGCACCTTTAGTTTACTCAAATTTGATTATCATATTTTATTACAAATAATTCAAATCTAAGGATTATTACTGATAGAATGGAAGATAGTTCTTTTTAGGGGTGTAAGTTATAAATTAATCGCATATCATCCCAACCTTTGAAGGTTTCCTGTTTTACAAGAGTTTTTAATAAGTTATAAATAAATTTAGAACTATATTTAACTTATAATTTAAATAATACAAAAATGATTTATTTCCCAGGCATCTACAAGCGTAAAATTGTAAGTCTTAAGGGATTTCAATTTCAAGAAATTAAGGCTTATTGTTAATATAATTAACTAATTAACTATATAAATTATAATTTTAATCTGAAACTTTGTCTAAAAATATGTATAAATACTTTTTTTTCGAACTTTCTCTTTATGCCTTTTGTTATTAAAAATAAATAAGAACTAAATACATAGAGCTACTGAGGCTGCTCTTCAGCTCGTTACCACACATCCTCTAATCCTAGACACATTTGTATCCCCCTTAACCCCTTTCAGCTCTTAACCCCGCGGTGGCCCTCCTCAAGTCCCTCTCTCCCCCCCTTGGCCGCCTTTTATTTGATTTTCCTCCATGGTGGACCTCCCACGCGCTTCACTTTTGCGGCTTGTTTACATTTTGTGTGCCACGTGCCATGACAGAAAGCAATAAAAACAAAGCGAAAACGAAAACGAAAAATGGAAAACGAAAAAGGAAAATGAGAAGAAAAGAATCACAGTCGGCCTCCGATTAACGACACCCTTCCCCACCTCACACCCTTTAACCCGCAAGAGGGGGAAAAGCCTTGCCCAATTGCAGTTTCAGTGGGAAAAGCAAGGAAAAAGAAAAGAAAATTGCACTCAATTTGCATTTGCAAAAAGGGTTGCAAAGCATTCGAAAAGTATCGTCTTAAATTTGAATGAATTATAATATATATTAAGACTTTATATTTACTATTAATTTTGCATTATTTTAGTGTAATATTGTGACAATTAAATCTTTATAACTAAGCCAAAAATACATTAATTTCAATTCGGAAAGCTTTCCAATGCTAGTTTTTATTAGGTTAACAAATCTATGTATAATGAGTTTAAAATTTAAAATTTTTTAAATATTTTTGAATTTTTGACAATTTTAACGATGTAACCCCTTATAAAATTTTCAAAACTCAAAATAATAATTTTTCTCTATATTTATAAAGGTATAATTATTAGTTTTTATAGAGAAAGCAAATCTATTTACAGATTCGTAAGACACTGATTTCAATGATTGATTAGTGGTTTTTGCTGAAAATTTAGAGCTTACTTAATTTTTGTACTATAAATTAACAAAATTAGTCTCTTAATACTTCATAATTAATACATACATATGTACTAAAATACTAAATGAACAACATAAATTAAATCTATGTAAGTACTCTCACTTCTATATTATAATATTTTTTACTTATATTACTTGCTTACTCATACACATTTTATTTTTTAATATATTACCTTAAAATATATATATAGTTTATAATTAATTTAATATGACAACCCTGTTGCAATTGCTTCTCTTTTTCGAGTAAATATTTCGAGTTGCGCTCCGAGTTTAGTGCGCTCAGTGAAAACATTTCACTCAAAACAAAAAAAAAAACAGGGGCACTGAGTGAGAGAGACACCCCGCCTCCGATTTTCCCCTTTTCCACCTGCCACGCTGCCACCATTTTCCCCAAGCACTCCTCTCTCTCACTCACACCCATTTTCCTCCTCTCATTTTCCCTGAGCGCGCCTCCATGAATTGCATTGGCAGCAGCAGGCGGAGCCGTGGCTCTTCTAGTTTATTTCTGTGCCCGGATTTTCCACTTGCTGTACGTTTTTTTTTTTCTACTTTTTTTTTTAATTTTCCATCTGTGCGATTTTCCCCCCAGGCATCTCTTTTTTGCTTTTTGCTGTGCGATGAGAAAAATGCGCAGCCATCGGATCCGCTGATTGGAAGAGCTGCAGCAGCAGCAACAGCAACCAGCTCAACTCGACTCAACTCGATGCTTTAATAGTTTCTGGGGTTGAACTTGCCCCCCCCCCCACGCTGCATGCCCCCCAAAGAGCAGGAGCCCCCCCTCATCATGCTGCACTTTGCGGCGAGGCGCCACTGGCTGGCTGCCTGGCTGCCTGTGGGTGACAATTTCGTTTTATTTTTGCCACTTTCTGTGCTCCTTTTTCCAGGATCACTCTATGATTTTTCCCGGCTAACTTGGCTGAGTGAAGAAATTAAGTAAAATAATTATTAAATATAATTAAAATAGGGTTTTAAGTACTATTAATTGGGTTTTATAATTGATAATAAAGTCTGTAACCATTTTAGAATTTTCATAATGATTAAAGGAACCTAATTTGTAATTTTCAAGTTGTCCTTTTCGATTGGAATTCCTGCTTTAAATTCTTTAATATTTTACTATTTTTTCATAAATTTATTCTTTAATCCTTTCTTCTTTAGAACATTTCTAATTCTTACAAAATATCTAGTCTCTCGATAGCTTCACAAAAAAAAATCTATACTCTACATCATATAAATATGCGTCAAATCAAATATATATGACAAATTTCATTGTAATAAATTGGTGGTATTTTATGTATTTCTTACAATTTTAATATGGAACTAAAAAACCTAAATTTAGTGTTACTTATCGTGCTAACTATTCCAGCCAGTGAAGCTAAAAGAGTAAAGCGTATATCCTCGCCGGAATTCTATGGAGCCTACACCGAGGAGTTGGCCAAATATGTGGTCTCCATACGATCAAGGACCCCACAGACCTTCTTTGGCGATAATCACTATTGTTGTGGTGGACTTATATCAACGCGATGGGTTCTCACAGCCGCCCATTGTGTGATGGAGTAGGTTGAATCCTTAGTACTAGAAATCCTTAGAAATTCTAATTTATCAAATCCTTTTCCTTTATCCCAGTCAAGTCAAGGTCATGTATATGCCAAGAATGCTGCTGGTGGTTTCCGGAACTCCACAACGTTTGCGATATGTGAATGGAAAAACAATATGTTCGCCGGTAAAATCAGTATATGTGCCCAAGGAGTTTATTACGCACAATATCATGAACATGGCATTGATACATTTGATGAGTTCACTGCCCACGGATAATCCAAGAATTGGTTTCCTTCTACTGCCACTAAAACCGCCCATATATGGGGCCACCTACTCGATATTGGGATGGGGAAGATTGTATATGGTAAGGATGTGGTCAGAGATCTCTCTCTTATATACTATACTCAATTAATTCTCTAGGATGGCCCCCTGGCATCAGAGATCGTTCAGCTGGATGTAACTCTAATGGACATGCAAAGTTGTCTGATGTACTTCAAGTATTTTCGCTCGGGAATGCTTTGTGCCGGCAAAGATAATTTAACCATGGATGCGGATCCTTGTCCAGGTGATATTGGTTCTCCTCTTATAAGGGATCAGGTGATGTTTGGCCTTGTGGCCTATCCCCTGGGCTGTGGCTCTGATGTTCTGCCCTCTGTTTACACGGATGTTTATGTTGGTCTCAAGTGGATTATGAAAACAATCAAAGCCTCATCGAAGGTCAAACTGAGACCAATTTTTGTCCTGGTTATGTCCTTGTTGGTTATGATGCTGGTTCTCTAAGTCTATAGTGCTATACATTTTCGGAAAACTAAAATGACAAAGTGTAACTATATGTTTGTAATAATTAGGACTCCATTTTGGTATATTTAAAACTCTCACGACTCTTAGAACTTGATGTAATTTTAACCGAAAATAATAAGAAATTCCCTTAATAAATTAAAATACTAAACCTACATTTTAATAATTAATTAATAAGCTAGCAAAAGAAAGTGCATTTCCTGTTCGCTGACATTTTTTCTTGAATTTTCCTCCGCCATTTTGGGATATATATGTTGAATCCTGCTCCAGTAACCTTCTACCCCTTGAAGCCACCCAGGAAAATTCTCATTCATCCAATGCATTTTGCTTTCGCATTCCCATTTTTCTTTCTTCTAGTTTTTATTTTGGCGTTTTCCATTTTTCGGGTTGAGTAGAGTAGGGAACATGCGCAGAGTTTTTCTGCCCCTTCAAAACAAAATTGCACAAGGCAATTCTCCTCAGTGCCACCCATTTTGTCCGGGGAAAATCAACAAAAAAAAAAAATAATAAAGGCGAGGAAAAACAGAAAGAAAAGATAAACGAATAAAATGCAATGCAATGGAAATGTGTTCCTCTTGTCTTTCTATATGTGTGTGTGTGTGTGTGTGCGTCTGCTTTTGCTGTGAAAAATAGAAAAACGAAAGTTTTCATGATTCTCATTTGCTGTTGGCTGCCGCTCCAAGTGGCGCCCCCTGGCGGCGGTTCGGGTTGGCGGTGCGGCGGTGGTTCGGTTTTTAGCATGGCTGTGGTTGGCTGTCTCGTCCCTCGCACCACCACCCCCACCTTTAGCCGCCTGCCCCGCCAAGACATTTGAAAGATCTAAGAGGGAAAAGGCCAAACAAAAAACACAGATTATAAATACAATGCGCACTCGTTACAATGAACCTTATAAGAATTATATTGAGATCTTTTTTATCTTCAAGATTTTCAAAGTAGTTATTGTTTAAATTTAAGCTGAAGTGGAAAATTTTAAAGCAATCTGTTCAGTTCTGAGAATACAGCATAAATTTAAGGTGCCCGCCCTGAAAAGTAGGCAATGTTTTGAGAACCAAGTGATTGGTGGTTAGACTTGCTATTTTTCTACGTAAGTACTTTAATAATATAACAAATACTATACAAAAAATATTAAAAATATATATATAACATAAATATAATAAATTTAAGTTAATAAATAATTAGTATACCTACATTAGAAGCTAATATTCTTAGGCAGAAGTGATGTTTTAAGGGTTACATGTAGACCCCTAAGATACAAGATCTCAAAAGCATGTGTCTTAATTGTGGGCCTTAACTGTCTATTATAATACTCAGGCTAGTTATCTTAATATATTAATACTTCATTAATATACAAGTAAAAAATATATAAAATAATATAAATAATTATATATATAAATAAAACCTATCTAATAACCATAATGTAACAAAAAATGATTCTACAAAGCAATCTCTACTATTTTAGTACTTTAAAACTATTCAAATAAAAAAGAAAATAATATTATTTTTAAATATATGAAACATAAATATAATACAAATAATTTAATAAATAATAATTGTACAAGCTACCCACTTTAAGATATACAATTATTAAACAAAAAGATTTTAGTAAGACCCTTTAGAGCTTGAGAACGGTTAGTGTATTAACTTCTTTTCATAATACTTAGCTCAGGTAAGAAATTAAAAAAAAATATATATAATAAATAAAGATAATAATAAATGTAAAAAAAAATAATTAATAACAATAAATAATAATTCTAAAAGAACTAAAATCCTCACGCTTTCCCTCACCCAATAATCTTCACTATGGAATTGATTGTATATACTTATAGGGATGACATGGTGAAAAATGGAAAAGTATGGAAAGAGAGGGCCCTGTGTATGTGTGTGTGAAATAGGAAAATAAAAAAAAAAATGTGGGACTTAGGTGTCGACTGTGGTGGTCGTGGCAGAGTGCCGGGGTATGCCATCACTATTAGTACAGCATTAATTAGTTATGGCAGACGATTTTGAGGTTGGCGCTCTGCTGAGCTCCTGAAAGCATTTCACTGTTGGCAAAAAAGGAAACGAAAAGCGAGGTAAGGGGAGCAACACACGCGTGCTTGCCAAAATAAACACAGGAAATGGGAAAACCAGAAGAAAATCTAGTCAGCAGCGAAAGTTTTTGTGCATTAAAAACAGAGACGATAAAGAAAAATGAAATAGAAATGAAACGAAAGCTAACTTGAGTTTATAAATAAAAGGGAATATGGGATATAAGCTTATGAAAGGGTAGGTAAGTATATATAAAATAGACAAAATAAAGAAAAAGGTAGTGAAAACATTTTTATAATTGTGTTATATTTAATTGTACAAGCAAAGTCATTCAGAAATAAATATAAACTAACAAAGCTACAATGAAATCTATAAAAAACAAGCAAAAACCTTTAGTACGCTATCTCAAATAACTAATTTCAATGCTTTCTTATTTCCAGTTCATAAATCAATTTAAATATATTTGTACATCAATTTATTTCTCATATATTAAATAATCCTCAGCAAATAATAATAGTTTGAATCTTATTACATACAAATACTAATAAAGGCATTGATTTAAATATTTCAAAGTTGACTTCAAGCTATTTATGATATTCTAATATATTGCTTTGCCCCTCGGGCCTTACTAATTTTATGTTTCTTTGGTTTCTTGTTTTTTTTTATTTGAAAATATTTTAATTAAATATTTATCCAAAACAAACATGAAATTCTCTGCTGTAGCCCCCATCTCGCTTTCGTCCATCTCACACTTGAGTGACTTTCAATTAGTTGCGCCACAACTAAGCAGGATAACCCTCGGCACCGCTTACCCCTTTAATATCTGCACTTTATTTGCTCGTTTATTTATTTAAAAAGCAATAAATTCATGGCAAGTTTTATGCGCAAATATCTGAAAATTAAATGAGCATTTCCAGGGGGTGGGTCAAGGGAATGCCTCCATTTGCTGGGGAGTGGGGTTAAGGACCAAAGTAGTGGTGGTCAGTTGTGACGATGAAAAGGAGTGCTCAGAAATGAAAGTCCTTCGATGGATGGTTGGGGGTGTTCGTCTCTCCACTGGACCGCTCTTACGGTTCGTTCATTATCAACGCCGAAAAACTAAACAAAATTATTCGCCTTTTGCCGGAAGTTGGCAATAAATTAGTTGGGTTCTCAGCAGCACCACCCACCCACACACACACGCCCGCATTTTCCCCCTGCATTTTCCCTGAAAATCTCTCCAGACCTTGTCCAGACAAGCCGCCATAAAGCATTCATAAATCCCAAAGTAAACTAGAGTGAACCACCCAAAAAACCCACACATATGCAGACCACACAAGTGGGGTCAAAATTATAGGAAATCGTTATATTTATTTAAATTTAAATTAAGATAATTGAATTTAATACGGAAATAAAAATATAGAAACTTCTTTATTTTAATATTAATCAAGACAATGGGAAATAAAGGGAAAGTAAAAATATAGATATGAATGAAAATCTTTATATTAGTTTAAATAAGAAAAATAAGAACTAAATAGAAAATAAAAATATAGATTTAATATCAATATATTATTAATATTAATTTGCATAAAGAAAATGTGAAACATGGAAATAATACCAGTTCTTTACTTTAGTTTAAATAAAGTAAATAAAAATATAGAACCAAAACCCATTCTTTATTCTAATTTAAACAAAGAAAATATGAAATAATAAGAATATAAAAATATAGAAATAATAACAGTTCTTTATTTTAGTTTAAATAGTAAATAATAAAAATAAAAAGCGAATCGTTATATTAATTTGCATAAAGAAAATGAGAAATGATAAGCAAATAAAAATATAGAAGAAATAGAAAATCATTACTTCAATTTAAATAAGGAAAATGAAAAATAATAAGAAAATTACAATATAAAAAGAATAGCAAATCTTTATTTGAATAGAGGAAAATGAAAATAATTAGCATATATAATAATATTTCGAAAGTATATCAAAAGTATCCATATCTTTATATGCAGTTTTACAGTAAAATACCTATAATATTTTGGTAACTATAATGTTCACCCCAGGTGTACTATCACACACACACACACGTTGGACACAGCGGCACAGACTCTTGTGTAACATGCGGTGGCCTTTATCCATTCATCCGTTCATTCATTTAACCTCCTCCGGTTGACCATACACCATACCTCTCCGCCCCTCTGCTCCTTCTCTGTCTCGCTTATTGTGTCCATTTTCCATTCCGTCCATTTTCACCCGGAAAACGGCGTACTCCGCCCCTCTACCCCTCCCAAAGCCATTTCCATGTCCAGGTCCCTTTCCCCCGGCTCCACATAGTTTCACTTTTGTTTTCGTTTCAACTGTTCGGGGTCTGCTTTGCATGTGTCTGGAGTTCAGGTCCACAATCGGATTCTTCCCATCAGCAGTGAGCTTTGCTTTTAAGGAATGGGTAGTCGAAGGTCCTTGGTCCTTGGTCCAGCGTCCTTTGTCCACTTCGTTAGTTGTATTAGAGAGTTTGCGTATTTGCGGGTCATTTCAGAGATCCCTCAATTTGGGGGTTAAATTAAAAGAGAGAAGCTGCCCTTAATGAGTTCCAAAAAAGAGGGGGCAAGTGGGTCTGACAGAAGCCCAATGTAATCGCAGCCAATTGCCACTGGAAGGTGTGGAAAGTGAACAATAAAAGGGGATTCCCGTTTAATACTATGAACAGTAAGTAACAATGATCAGTAATTAACTATGAGCAGTAAATATCTATGATCACTAAGCATCAATGAACTTAAGTAAATATGATCAGTTAATAACTATGATCAGTGATTAACTATGAACAGTGATTTCCTCTGAGCAGTAAGTAACTCTGAACATTAAGTATCTATGACCAGTAAGTAACTCTGAACATTAAGTATCTATGACCAGTAAGTAACTCTGATTAGTAAGTAGCTATGACCAGTAAGTAACTCTGATCAGTACGTATCTATGACCAGAAAGTAAGTATGTTTGATCAGTTACTAACTTTGAACACAAATAAACAATGACTTGCAACTTTTGTAACACAACACATTTCTGGGACTGGGCTGGCAGCAGTCACTTCGTTCCGGGGATGTTAGAACTAGTTGGGAATCATATGCACG